GGAGCGAGCTCCCCTCCTGGGGAGCTGGGGGGGCGAGGGGAGTCGGTGAAATGGCGCTTTTCCGAGAATTTTCTTTTTTTTTCTCTTAAACGACGCTTGGTTTTTCCTATCTCGGAAAGGTCGTCCGAGTTCCCTCTGCGAGTTCGTTAGGGTTATGATTGCAGCTTGGATTTCCCGTTTTATGTTTTTATATATGTGTGCGCATATGTATAGGTATAGATGCATATCTATATGTATAAAAGAATATTGTATCTCAGAATGTTGTGAATTGTAAAAGCAAAACCCAGCTGTTCTCCTGGTAAATCCTCTAACGCAGTAGTTCTACTTGGTTACGTTTTGGAGCAAGTCAGCAAGTACAGGAGAAAGCGTTTGCTGTTGGTTCGTCCCTTATGGAATATCTTGAGGAAATCGTCCATGTTTAAAAGCTGACTTTGTTTTCGTTGGTCAGGGGCAGTTTATATAAACTTTAAGTAAAGAAAAGCAGTCATAAAGCTGATAGGCTTTTAAGCAGAGCTGCCATTATCCTCACTAAACAAAATAATTTATTTAAGTTTTGAAAACTTTACTTTTTTCTAGCTCTTGTGTAACTCTTGAATTTGTTGTGGACAAAGATCACATACTATGGCATATCTAAATTTAGGTCTCGAATCAGCCCTCATCAGTAGCATCTTCACATCAGTAACTTCCCCTCAGGAGTAAAACTTTCTCATGAAAGTAAGAGACTGTCAAATCTGAACTCCCCTTTTGTATTTGCACATTTTCTTATCATGCAGCTATTTGTCATTCTTTGGCTTTTATTTGTTTTCTACTTGTCTTTAAAAGGTGCCCTTACAGAACAGTTTTAGTCTTGCTTTTGTTGCATTTAAGTTATTAGAATAATTTAAATACTTACTGTGTTTTATGGTTGTATTAGGAAACTTAGTGAAACCCTGGCTAAATAACCATCATTGCAGTGAGAAGAAATATGAAGTTTTTGATCCTTATACGGAGAGACTGGAAAAAGCCTTTCCCTTGTTCGTGATAATCTGAAAAGCAGAGTTCAGTATCCTGTTGAAATATTTCGTATGCATACTTAGTAAGTCAGATGTTAATCGTGAACTCTGTAAAGTCAAAACATTGAGGCTCTGATTCTGAAGAAGCGTGTGTTGTTACTATAAGATTTTAACTTAAATGGTGATTTACTTAATCTTTTGTAGATAGGCTGGAAGGTGAATTGAATACCTGGCCTTTTCTTTTTCTCTTTTTTTTTTTTTCTTTCCCTTCTCCCAACACCCTATTGAAGCCTTTTTTGGGAAGGAACTGTTGCCTGGTTCAGTGTTTGTGCTGTGGCTGGACAGTGAAGGCCTGGTCTATTTTGGGGGATTCCAGAATAAGTTGAAGTTCAAATACTAGTGCAGCGCAGAGGACGTTCTTCTGAAAGTTTAAAACTCTGCTTGAGAACTAAAAGTATGTGTATATCCCTGAAAGCTTTGTGTTTATTTAAATTTGCCTTGTTAGCGTATCTAACAGCACTGGAGCCTTTCGAGCCGCACCGGCGGTGCGGTGGGCAGACCTGGGGAGTGCTTCGCTGCGGAGCTGGCTGTGGCCGGAGCCCTGGCCGCGAGACCGGGAGCTCAGCACCCGGTGCGCCTTGCCGGGGCTCAGGGCAGAAGCCTGGGCAGCTATTTCTGAGCTCCACACTCCCAAAGCAAACTTGTTTTGGGTGGCTATTTTTAAGCTAACTCTGCAGATCTGCCAACACTTGCGCTGCTCTGCTGCAGTGCAGACGCACCTGAGAGCTGGCCGGGAGGGCGAGAGCCCCGTGCTGGTGCTTCAGACCTATGCGTTGCACTGAGCGTTATCTGGAGCTTTTCGGTGGTGGCTAATAATACACTGAATGTCTGTGAAGCTTGAATCTTGCCATGAAAGAAATAGTGGACTTTGTGAGGCACATACACAGGCTTGGTCCTTAATAATTAGCATCACGTTATTTAGGTGATGTCCATCAATAGCTCTTTTTTTATGTAGTCAGAGACAGATTGTGAGCCCATATGAACAAGGTAGACACTTGTATGGCATGTTGGAAGGTTTATCTTCAGTTCCTCTGATCTCGGCCTTTTGCATGGTACATTTGAGCAAAATAAAGTGAAAACCAGCTCTCAGACTGAAGCAGTGGTTGTGTTGATACTTACATGTGAATCTGTTCCTAAAATAAACACAGGCATGAGGACTTTCAGGATCAGGGCCAAGTTTGAATAAAGGGGAAACAGCACTTGGAAATATAGCTATCAATCGCAAAAGCAGCAACTGAAAGTTTTAAAAATAAGCATATCATTTAAATGAGATTCACTGAACACTTAGTCAATGACTTTTGGCAGCATGTTGGCTAATTCACTGCTCAGTGATCTAGAATGGGTAGTTTTGAACGAGAAAGTGTGATACGCAGCATATTTAGGCAAGCCTTAACATTATTTGAAGTTACTTTATTAGTGTTTCTTTGGTAAGCTTTTATAAATTCTTATTCAGATAGCCAGCTGCATGTTGAAAATAAAGTCACAGCAGAACATGTTGTCCAGCTCACTCTGTGCATTTGCAGCTTTAGGACCAAAGGGCAGCCTAAGGCTGAGATTCCAGATGTGTCATTGGCTTGTATATTTAGGCATGTTTGTACTTCTGTTTCTGAGAATTGTAAGCTTTCTTAACCGAAGCTCGAGGGCCTGCATTTCTATGGTAAAGCAGGAAGTAACAGATATTTTTGTTTGTGGAGATACAAATCTGGTATGTTCCATCTATTTATATTATCAGAATAGGAACCATTCCTTAGGCTGTCTTTGGAAAAGTTGAGGGCTTTAAGGTTGTTATCAGAGACAGGAAGAAGCCTTCCAAGTCTGTATCGTAGTCGTATTATTTCAGTATTTCTGGTTTTGTGTAATATTTAACTGCAAGGGTCATGTAATACTAGGTATAAATGTTTAAAATGGTAGATGTATTTCTTTAGAGCAAAAATTTGTGAAAGTTTGTTAAAATAATTGCCTTTTCATATTATATGTAGAAATACAGGTATCTACAACAAGACCATTATTAAGAATTCGCTAATAAAAAAGTAAAAAGAAAGGCCACGTCTAAAATTGGTGTATTTTATAGCAGTATGGGAATACAAATGTAAATGAATAGGAGTAGCACAGTTACAAGTAGAAGTATGTACTGATCAAAACAAACCTACTATAGACAGATTTGATAATAAGGACACTCATCCTTGCCCTGCTCATATTTTAATTGATAGTACTTTTGGTTCGTACTCCATAGAACAGGAGTGACTAGGTTTACCCCTGGATAAGGTGACATTTGTTTTCTTTGGCTCTGTGTGCTTTATACGTTGACAGTATCACACGCATTTGTCACTTGTAGTATGGACTGAACAGAAATATTGGTAAGCAATGTTCTGTTTGGCCATTTGTGATCTTAATAAAGTTTTGTCTAGGAATATATCCAGTTAAATATTTAGAGGCTGTAAATCCCTGGATTCATTGCAAACCAGTAGTTCTTAAAAATAATAATAATAATAATGATGGATGTAGTTAGTAAAAATATTCTGAAAAATCAGATGTGCATGTAACACTGTCCTTCAGCCATTCTAATGTCCTTTGAATACAAATATAAGAATGAGTATGAAGGAATTTATTAAATTCTGCTGTACAGACAATGCAAGTTACAGTAAGAATAGACTTATTTTTTGAAATATGTTTGTTCCTTTTGGTATTAGATAAAGAATATTTCACATTTATATATTGAAGTACCAAGCTCAAATTTCAGATTAGATGTGAATTTTAGATTAAAGATAAATGTTGACTTCTGGATTGAAAATTAGTGCAATAAACAGTGAAACAAATACCATACCGTAAAATTAACATGGTTGTGGTCACTTTGGAAGAACTTCAGCCTATGTTAATTTAATTTAATACCTTTATTTATGAAAAGAAATATCAATGTATGTTATGAACAGTGTTCAAGTGTCAAGTACCTTATTTTCTATGTTAATTTATTAATGAAAATACTGAACCACAGGAACAGTGGTTTTAGACGTAGGAAAGAGTTAAATGTCATTGGTTTCTTAGAAGTCATTTAATTGCTTCTGTGTTCTTTCGTGCAGTGTTAGCATTGGCCTTAAATAAGAGCATCAAAATGCTGATAAAAATGAAACTTGATTAAACAGCTGTACTTCATACATTTGTTTTATGTAGTATCAGAAGACTGGATGTTGTCTTTGAGGCTGATCCTGTGTGAAAGCTTTCTTCTGAGTGCGTTATAAGAATGCTTCAATTAGTAAAGTGGCATATTGACTTGGAATCACAACGTTAATTTACGAATTATTTCCATTAGCTTGCTTCTCTTTCCGTTAGTCTTCCACTGTTTCAGAATTGGCAACATCAGTGTTGGGATGTTAAAGAGGACATAAGTGATAGCTGAAAATAGAGTTTGCACTGGCCCTTTTCCACAGCCTGTTCAATATCAAGCTTCACGTTGGGAGGAGAACATTGTTCTTCCAAATGCCTTTAACAGAATTACTTTATTAATAGCTTCTGGCACCCTGTAATTTCATCTTAAAGAGGTTTTAATACTGTCCTGTGGTGATTTTTAGATATTGTAAGCATTTACCACCTCTTAGAAGACACTTAACATTCTCTAGCACCTAGACCGTAGTTGTAAATACCATAAATGGAGTGAGATATTCATGGCAATATTCCAAAGTCATGAGATGGGCATTATCAATAGAAGTATCAGACTGCTCAAAAGTGGGGTCACAGTTGTATTTTGTGATGTATGTGTTCTTGGAACGTGCCACAAGTACAAACGTGCTTCTGATATCACTTCTAGGACAGTGTCAAAGGCTCCTTCAGTTAGGACTTCAACTGAAGTACCTACTCAAAATTGACTTCTCAAATATAAGCATAGCCTTTACCTGCTGCAGATTATGCCCGATCTTTTTGGTTAGTTTGTTTCTTGACATAGTAAAGAAATTTGGTACAGAACCTTCACAACAGCACACTTATGTTTTCCAGGCTATGGACAGGGGGGAAGAATGCAGTTGCTGCCAGATCACTGAAACTTTTCTGCAGAGCTAAGTCTTTGCAGCCCTACTTTTACATTTTGCTAAGATTTTATTAATTGACTGACTTAGGCCCCAGCAAAGTGCTTCAACAGGGCTATTCACAGACTTCAAAATTAATACAGTGTTCTTTGAATCCAGAACCATGGGCATATCGTAGTCCAGCTAAGCAAGCAATCCTAGCTTTTTAAAATCACCAAATGATGAATCAGGTCTTTGGGATCTTATCTCTCACAGCGGTCTCCTCTGTCTGTAATGTGCAAACATAAAAAGGAAGGTGAAAGGGAAGGGGTTCAAGAGAGTCTTTCTCCTGTCCCTCTGTCTAAAGTAAACTTAGCTTAATTTACAGAGCTACTCCTTGACCCATTCAGAGAGCTGTCCATATTTTAACATCTGTTATTGGTGAGTAAGTACTTTTTTGTGAAAAAGAATGTTCAAGCAGTATGAAACAGCTCTTCCCATTTGGGATCCGCATACGCAGAGGGTTTTGTGTTAAACCAAGTGTCTGTTATATGAAAACTTGGTTGTCTATAGTCAGTCTTAGTGACTGGGAACACCCTAGCTGGGCTTACAGTGGAGGTTGAGGGTTATATGACTTCCAGTTTTTAATTTGGATGCATTTGCCACTTTGCCTTGAGTCCTAGCAGAGGGCCTGGTTCATACAAGTACTTGCTAGCAGGTGAGGTGCTTGTTCCTTGTGTTGCCCTACCTCACAGGATGGGGCACTACTGCAAGGTACCTCCAGTACCACATCTGGCAGCCTACATCAAAATATGGAACTTTTGCTAAATGGACTTCTTAAAAGTACTCTGACGAAACGGCCAAAGGCAAGTGACCATTTCGATGTGTAATTAAATGCTTAGCCATTGCTTTAATGAAATTCTGTGTCAAGTTTGAAAGTAGCAAAGGAATTTGATTAGTTGCTACATGAAAGTTTTGTTGCAAAGAGAGATATTTTAGAACTTGGCCACATTTGTTCTTTCTCCTTCCCTCCTTATGAGTGTGGCTTTCATTCCCAGGAAATCGGTATGTTAAATTTAAAAATAGTAACAACATTTTATCCATTAAAGGGGATGCTCCTGTCTTAATCATAAAATAAAGCTGTGCTTTCTGGGAGGATTCAATCCTAGAGATATCCTTGCGTTTATTTTGTATCTAAAGCTAGAAGTGAATATACGTGTTTGGTTTTTTTTTTTTTTGTAAAGTCATTTAAGTGATATATTAAAACCAGAGGCTATTTCTTCACTGGCATAAGTAAACTGTAGAAATACTACCTAGCAACTTTTCAAACCAATTGTATGTGTAATTGTCAGAACAGAAAGCAGCTATTTCCATCCAAGTATGTGTGACCTTTCAGCAAAGCTATTTTACTGGCATATATCTAAATTACATGGTGTTTAAAAATACAGCCAAACAATTCTAACTTTCTTAATTATGTGCACGTTCTGCTTTGACAGGCTGAAATCTAATTTTATGATGGCATCAACTTGTCTTTTGTCCTTTTGGATGAGGTCTAACCTGAATGTAATTTGAAGGCGTATGGTTTTTTTCTCTGTCTTATTAGAAGCAGAATGATATTCTAAGCATCTGTTTTTCCCTCTTTTTCTGCCTTTCTTTCTGGCAACAGATTTAATCGAAAATGTTTACGTAGCTTCAAGAAGCAGGAGAGAACCTAAAACTCCTACGGCAAATGACGTCCCTGAGCACCGGCCACAGATGAACAGCATTACTGTTTCGAAGAAACGCAACTGGCTACACCAGAGCACTCACAGAGCTTCTCATATGGAAGAAGAAAACGCATGTAAGAAAATGCAAGGGGCTGTTATCCAGGTACCTAAATCTCCCAGTCCATTACCTGAACCTAAAATGCAGAAGGTTCCTTCCAAGTCACCTGCAGGGCTGGAATATCCCGTGAGAACCTGCAGTTCTGCAAATGCCATTCCAAACACTTTCATACTGAGGAACTGCGCTCTGGACTTCAGTGAGGATAACGATGCAGATGATGAAGGAGAAATATGGTACAATCCTATCCCTGAGGATGACGAGCTAGACTTCCCAAGATTCTGCTCCTCTGTTGTGAATAGCTCTGGTACGGCAGACTCCCCAGCTGCCACTTACAAAACCTTGCCTGAGAGTGACTTGGTTACAGCTGGGGGGCCCCATGGGGGCCCCCCACGCCCCTCAGGGCACATGGGGGACAGTCAGACAGCTCAGCCTGGCGAGGTGCATCCGGCCGAAGCCACACGTGTGCCAGAGCACGTACAGCTGCACGGGCAAAGGTTTGCGTGCAAGACCCAGAGTGGGCCAGCTGTGGAAGACAATCCTACGTTTAAATATTCTTCACCAGGTAAGAGGGCTCTGGAACATAAAAACGTTACATCCTCTGTTTTCTTTTAAAGGGATAATAAATCTTCATACACCTCTGTTCCTTTTTCCCTCCTTTTGTCTTTGTCAAGTAAATTTCGAGTGGAAATGGCTGATAAGTAAGTTCTTAAAAATTACTCTGATAGTGACATCAGTATCTACTGAATGTAGAACTGCACAGTGATTTCTCAGTTTCTTCATCTCACGTGTCCAGAATTATAGTTTTCCACTGCCTTGGTTGCCATCCCTCTGGAATCAGCTTAGAATTTGAAGTAACTGTGGTGGTGGTGGTGTTTGTTTTTTGTTTGGGGTTTTTTTTGCTTCCATCTAGCTGGAAACAAAAGTTTTGTATGAAAGTGAATTTACTTAATAGGCCTGTTAATGGAAACCGGGAGGGTGCTCCCATTTGGTTAGCAAGTGTCAAATTCTGGTGTTGATTTCTAGCCTTGAAGCTACTTAAGACTTTTCGATTTTCTTTCATTTGCTGCCTGGGATTTTTACAAAGACTTTGGAAGCTTGTATAAGCCTATTAGTTACATCCCTTTCAGTTCTTGCTGTCTTGTTGACCGCCTCAGGACCATCTAGAGAGGAATGGTTTTTGCTTACAGAAGCAAACTGCTTGTTCCGTATTATCTTAATGCTGAATGATCGATAGTCCCATTTTAATGATTCCATTAGTGTATGAATTCAGCAACGTAGTAAAAATTCTTCCCAGTCTGTCTTAAAAACAAAAAACTCAAAACCACAGCAAACAAAAGGAGGCAACCCCCCTGCCCATTACCTTTGTGTCTTATATTATCATATCTTGACCCTAAGTCTAATAATCCTGTTGAGATAGTTATGATCTTTGCATGAAATTCGGGAAGCAAGGAATTCCTGATTCTGCTCTTGACATTGATTTGATTTGTTTCTGGATAGAGTAATTTTCCAGCGCTATCCCTATTTCATATACAAAACAGGTATATTAATAATCATCTGCATTGTGTGGACTATACAACATTTTTTTTATAGTCAAAAGCCACGAGGGTTCATATTATACGATGTAGACCTCTAGCTGCCTGCGTTTTGAAGACCATCCCCTTAGCCTTGCTGTGTAGGCAGTGGACAGAAGTGGGGTGGGTGGCACAGCATGCTTTTTGGTGAGTTGAGGCCTCCAGCAAAGCTGAGGCACGGTGCACTGAAACGGAAGAGCCCATGCTTTGGCTGTGGTCATAGAGAAGATCTGCAACACCTGAGCCAGATCCCTGTCCTGCGCTGATCGCTGGAGGACCCACCCTGCCTGTGTCCCTATAGCGCATCCAACCGAGTGCTGGCAGACTTTGTGCCCCGCATCTGTGAACGTCCAAGTTATTTTGTCTGGATTACAAGTGCAGAGGTGAATGCTGGAAACGGGAGCTATTTGCAAAGACACAACACAACTTTGGCAAATGGCGGGAGAAAAATGCTGTGTTGCTTCTAGGAGCTCATATTGTGCTCTTTTTGTGGAAACACAACTTTTACGCGCAAAGTATATTAAGAACCAGGCATCTCTTTAGGAAGTTTGCTTTATCGTCTGCATTAAATACTTAGACTGATTATATTTGCTTGCAAGATAGACGACATACCATGTTCTTAGGTAGACTTTTCCATCAGTAGATCTCTAAGCACTTTGAAAAGATCACTAAGCATGATTATTTAGGAAAGCCCTGTGTTTGTCCTGCTAACTCTTTGACCTTCGTTTAGGAGATGAATCCCTTGATATGTAGGTGACTCCACTTCTTTTGAATGACTATATCCCTTTGTGTATGAAGAAAAATTTTATTCTTGAAAGCAAAATTGCTGGTTGGATGCATCTTTCATGAAGTCAGGAAGAAAAATGAAATTTTTCCTGATTGGTTTACTATATTTTGAGTTAAGTAAGCTATTTTAAATGCAGTTCTCTTTGTGTATGCATTGAATAGTGATCACATTGAATGGATTGACTGATGATGAAGTGAGTCCTGCTGCTTGGTAATTGGCTTTATTATGGAGAAGTAGTTTAGTTCTTTGTTAATCTGGTTAAAGTGTCTACAGTTATTTTCCGATCAATTTAAAATGACGGCTCATCCCTACAAAATCACTGCATGAAGGGCAACATGGACAATTAACTTTATTTGTATTAGGACAGAGTTTGAATTACACAGTTGCTATGAAATAGATATCTGTATTCCTAGAAAGCTGCACACATTAAGCAGTGGCACCGACATACCTAATTATTGCTTGGGGAAAAGGCTATTTATCTATCTTAGTGATATAACTTTGTGTATGTCAATGCTGGTTAGTACAAGAGGTTAAAGTAACAGAGAGATCTTGGGAAGCAAAGACAAAAAAAATGTAGGGTGCTGTTAAAGGCAACAACATATGTAGTTTGTTCATTTTGTCTTTTACTGTTTTCTTCTTTGGACAGCGCAACGGGTTTAATGTTCTAAACTTTAAACAATGCTGCCCTATTTGGATTTAAGCTTTGGAGAGAGGAAATGGTCATGGATTTTCATGTTTTCTTTTCATTAATTTGTTGAAAGAGTTTTTATTAGACAAAAGAGTAATAAAAATTATAAGTGATGGGGTTCAGTTATTGGGAGTTTTCCCAAAGCAGCAAAAAGATATTTCCTGTAAACGTTGTCAGTAACATGGGTCATAACTGCAGAGGTGCTAATTTGCCCCATAATCTTAACTCACACTGTTAGTTCCTGCTGTTAATCGGGTTACTTTCTGCAGTAAATACCATTTATGTTAATGGGATTTGTCAGGTAATTCCTCAGTGAATAATTCTAGCCATGCTGGTTTTTAAGCAGAAACTGATTAAAAATAAAGCACTGCTATATCAGAGCTTGAAAAAATAATTCATGTATTTTATTTATGAAAAATACACAAAAGGTAACAGAAGATAATTTGATTCTGAATTAACAATGTAGAAACATAGAGTGTCAGCTCATGCTTTTAGCTCCATTGGAGAAAAGTTAAATTGGAAAAGATTGGGACAGATGTTTTTAGTTTTTGTATGTGTTTAAGGTAAAATGGTTGTGATAGGAAAACTGGCCTTTTTGTTGTATACTGAGCTTTTCATAATGTATTTATAGTTCTTGGCAAATTTTATTTAACATTTTATATATGCAGTAGAACTGTTTAAGACAGAACTTTAACTGTGCACTTTTGCAGATGAGTGTCACCTGCAAAACGTTGAGGGATGGCACCTCTTTATAACTGAATAGTTCCTTCTGACAAATTTGTAATATTTTTGCTTTTGGGGAGGGTTACTGTTGGGGTTAGTGTACAGCTAATCAGTGGGATCAGTACATGTGTGTCTGTCTCAAAGATATCCTAATAGCACGTCTGAGTGATAGCTGGCTAGGATCTTGACTGTGCTTTTGCTAATAAAAATGTGCATATATTAGCTGTCTGGATGTAGAATCACAGGCAATGATTTCTTTTCAAGGTTACAGCAAGTGCAGGTTGAGTGAAGGCTGTATTCCCACTCACAATACACGCGTAAATGCCAGCTGGAGCTTGGCAAAAATCAAATTAGAACTGAAGTGCTCTTTCTTCATTTACAGCATGATGACTACCCTGGGGTACAGATAGATCTTCTTGTGCCAACGTGGGCAAATATTTTGCTTGCTTAGGTTTTGCAAATGAGCTTCCAACACACTGGCAGCTCGCTGAACAGCAGATCCTACCTACCAGCTTCCTTGCACACATGCTGCAAATGTTTTTTGCTTTTTTTTTTTTTTTTCAGATGGAAGATACTTTGATTTAACTGTGCAAGGAGCTTGGATTTAATAGGGCAAAAGAGTATTCATGTAAAATATTTGTGTAATGTCTGAGTTGTTGAAGTGACTTGGCATGTGGTGGAAAGATCCGTCTGCTCTTCAGTGATAGAATGCCGTTGATTCTCAAATGTGTTAGAGATGCCTCCAAGCCCTGAAGAATAAGGGAGGGGTAGCAGTGGGAGCCCTTGCTTGGGTGGCGTGGGGACAAAAGGAGAGAAGCTACGTCAGGGAGGGCAGCCAGAGAAAGCGTCACGCCTCCAGGGAGTACGCTGCTGACCGAGAAGGGCTCCTCTTTCTTCTGTGGAGCTGAAACCAGCTTGTCAATGGGCTTTCTTGGAGTTTGTCTGTGCTTTTGAAGGTTGAGGGTCTATTCATGCATATGTCTTTGATCCATCAAGTGACAATCCCTTAAAGACCTACTGGTGAAAGAGGCAAAAAGGATGTAGCCCTGTGTAGTTGAAACAGTTAATTTAAAATAGTTACTGCCTTTTTCAGTTTATTTGTGCTTTTATCATCTTACTTTGCAAAGGGAGGCAAAGCTACTTTTTATGCCATTTGTTGTGAAAGAAGCAGTGCAGGAAGGCCAATTTCATGAGACTGGCCCAAATGAAGGGTGCTTGGTGTCAGAGCTTGGTACGATGCCAGTGATTGAATGAAGCTTACTGTGGTGTATGTGAACCAGGAAATCATTAATGTTTAAAATATTTGCAACAAATTCATTCTTGTCTGGTCATTCTTTCAAGTCTGGTCAGTGATCTAATGATGAATCTATTAAACGCGTGTTCTTCTCTCTAGTGAAATAACGCTTTATAGGATGCTCTGAAAATCACTGCCACAGTGGAAGGGCAGGCAGCGTGCAGCTGGCTGACCTCCTTATACATGTATAGCCTCCAGGGGGTACTTGGTAGTCACTTTCTCTTTTAATTAATGCACTATTTAGAGCAATTTATTTTCTGCCTTTTGGGCCAGCAGATAAGTGATCCCTGAGTGGATAGGCTTACTTAATGTCAGTTTGCGTAATATTTTAAGAAAATGAATTACCATAATAAAGTTCTTGGAGATTTTAAACTCTTTTAACACTTTCTCTGTTCCTTTGCTTTTAAAACGCTATTCTGGGATTGAACCCAGAATTTGAGTTGGTCAAAATTGTAGTTTTCATAGAGATAAAAAAGACCTAACTTTTTGACAAGTTAGAAGAGGTGCTTCTTCCATTCATTTAGATAATTCATTGTGATGTTACAAAGAAATAAGTGTATGAAGTGACACTTTCCTTATATCTTAACTAAAGTTGATTAAATTTGATATAGCATGAATTCTTCTCTTAATGCTATTTATAGTTCTGCTGTGAAGTTGATATCAGATCAGGTCTGGAGCTATCTGGGGGTGAAAAGACTTAATGGACCAAAGTCTGAGCCTGACTAAATTTGACAGCCTTTGCTGTCAGTAGAGCTACGGTGTTTGTGTCAGCTGCAGATCTGCATCCATGTCTTTTTGTAATCGAGCAAAGAACAGTTGCTCTTTTCTTGCTCACTCATCACTTGGCTATCAGAACAGTTTTGAAGTATTTGGAAGTATTTGGGCTTTTCTGTTTTGATTTGTGACATTTTTATTTTTAATAATTTTTCACAAGTCAGTCATTGGTTTGATTTAAAAATTAAAGAAGGGGAAAAAGGCATGAAAAATTTAGGCATAAAGGAAACTTTAATTTTGAAAGCTAAACCACTGAGTACAAGTTGTGTGTTTTTTTTTTTAGTTTTTAAAAAGAAATGACTGTCTTAGAGCTTTAACACTACTGCTGTTATCTTCAAGATAAACTTTTAGTGTTAGTTGTAGTGTACCTATTAAATATTTCTGGAAAACAACAGGAAAAATTAAATTACGTATCAGCTTTAATTTGGTCTTAACTTAGCATTTCCATTAGTTACCAGGGTGGCTTTTTTGGTGTTGTAATAGCTTGCTATAATAAGGAAATGATGTCACCTCGCTTATTCTTCATCCACCTCAACTCGTGGTCCCAAAAATTAATTCAGGTGTTCTGATGGATGTTAAAGTAACTCAGAAACCCTACCTTAAGTGATGAGGAACGTTACGTGTAGAATAGGGCAATCAAATCTCCCTGCAGAATGCCCGTTGGCAATCAGCGTGACAGTGATTTATATGCCCAAGTACATGTAAACAGTGTTAAGCAGGGTCAGACAGGGTGGGTTGTTTTTTGTTTTTAAAAACTATGCTAAATCATTGCATATGTCTGGCAGGCACTGTGCTGTAAGTGCTGAAGGTATTTTAAGCCCCTCTCTTCCCTTAGGGCAGAGTTACATACATAGGTGTGCGTTTTGTCAGGGACAACCTGCTTGCCTGAATGGACGATGTTCCCATACAGGATGGGATGGGGGCAGTGTCTGAATTTGTGAAAAACTATTTCCAGTGGACTATGTCTAATTAGTTAAGAAAAAAGGCTTTAACCTTTTAGGCAGCCATATCACTGAACAATGTAAAAATTGGCTTTACTAAAGAAACTGGGGGGGAAAAAAAAAAACCTAACAGAAGCAATCACTAATGTTGTCAAGTCATCTTCATTCAGTATAGTCCCCTTTCAGGGTAATCGCTGACCTGTCTGCTGATAAACTATGCATCTTAGAATTGGGTTGTCCTTCTAAAGCCATTTTTTCTGTCTGTCTGGTACTGATAAAGCCTCCAGAAAGTGCAAGATAAACGCAGGAAGTCAGCTGCATCATTTAAAACTGATCCTTCCCCTTGCTGCCTTGGTAGTCATTTAAGCAACAGGTGCCTCTTGTGTTTCCTCTCCTCCTGCCATCCTTCCGTCAGGATATTTTTGAAGCCTAGCTGGCGTTAAGGTGAGGTGTGGTGCGTGGTAGAGCAAGACGGGGATGGAGTAGTTTGGGTTCTGCCTGCAGAACAGCCTTGGCGCTTCACAAAACGTCCAAGTAGCAAGAAGCGACTTAATTCCTGCAGCCCTCTCATGAGAAGGCTGTATGAAATGGGTAGGTTTGACAGCGACGTGTTGTTTCACTGTGCTGCCGTTCCTTTCTGCAGATTGTGCAGTTGTCTAATGTGCGCTCTTGAAAATTGTGTGCAAACCTCAGCACATTTCTGGCTTTAGTGAAACAACATGTGGCTCAATACTGATGGGAATACCATCCTGCATAATACTTGACTGTTAAGTTTCTTCTAGCCACATATTTCACTTTTACTGTTTGGAGCTGAGTACAGCAGAAGTTGGACGCACAAAAGTTGTTAGATTGTTAGATTGACTCCTCGGTGTTAATGAGCTGGAGGGAAGTTTAATATGCTGGCCTGCTTTTCTAAGCCCGTGTCAGAGACTTCTGGCAGAAAGGGAGGATTAATGTTAGCAGGCTGAAGTATGGCACTGGTTACTATAGACTGCTTCAGGCCTTCCCACCAGTGGGACTGTGCTGTGATGTGCAGTACAAGGGGAGGCTTTGTCCAGCTTTATCAAACACCACATTTCTTACTAGCTGCTTGCCAGAAAAACACAGCAGGCGTGCTAGAAATAGGCCTTTCCCTGTAAGGGAACTGCTTCAGTGAGATGCAGGACAAAATGAATTTTCCTCTGTTGCTCTGGAAAACAAAGTCTATGCGTTATTCCTCAAAACTAAAACTTTCTTTTATAAAGAAAGCAGTTATCTGCTAAAGTTATTAAAGCCAAACTTATGTTGGGAATAAAACTGGTCTTAGAGTTGGTGGGGAGGGAAATAAATCCTTTCTGTGAAAGTTATAATAAAGACCAGGTTGCGTGATTTTACTGTTTTAAGCTAAATGAAGTATAAAAAGTAAATTAACAGTTAAATAGTGAAAAATTAATTTGGATGAACAGGAGGATTTTAAATATCACTGCAATTGTATGGCGATTTTGATTTAAAGTGGTAGGTTTAGAGATAAAACAGAAAGCCTTTGAAAAACCTGCAATAGAAGTTGCTATGAAATATGATTTGCCAAGTATGTGGTAAAAGCAACACTTCTTTCTTGTCTTTTATATGCTGAAAACAGATTTCCCTCCGCTTGTGAGCAAGGGCGGGGGGAGGATAACTGATGTGTGTAGATATTTGAGTCTCTATGAGCTGCTTGGGCTAACAACAGCAAACAAGGATCATTATGGTTAGGGGCTCTGTGGTACCTTAGCAGGTATGTGCAAGGCTACACAAAGTCCTGTTGGGAGCTGCTGAAGTTTGCAAAGTGATGAATAAATGTGGCGGTTACTTCTAAAAGCGCTGTCAGTTTCTCAAGGGACAGCAAATTGACTGTAAATGAAAGTACTTATGTAATTTTATTCATATCTATCACTCTGGGCCAAGTTTTCCCCCTCGCATGTTCCATTTACTCATGTAAATTCATTGCCTTTCCTGCAGTCGTTCCTGCCTCATGCTGATGAAAGTGAGAAGATGAGCTATAACTTGAGATTTGGATTTCCTCGAGTATTCCAGCATGGGGTGAACCACAGGTCCTGATGTGTGCATTATGTGCAGAAATTTCTGCTCTGCTGGGTGGTGCATGATTGTAATGGTGGTCTTTCACTGTTGAGGGATTCTTTTTTCTTTCTTTCTTTCTTTCTTTCACTCTCCTGCATCAGTGTCTATTGGTATGATTGGTTGGTACCTTGAAAAGTTAGTGGTTTCCCATGTGGTTATCAGCTGGGGACCGCTTACTTCAAGTCCTGTCACGGGATGGTTGTGCTAGGAAAGAGGGAAGGTTGCTAGCATATATGAAGCAGTGCAAGATGTGGCTTTTGGAAAGAATGAATCTTTGTTGCATACCTCCTTCTTCCTGTATCAGAAAAGAGGGTTTGAGAGAACTAGAGGAAAAAGGTGTGAGGCACCTTGCCTGCATCTACATGAGTGGGATTTAGGGCTATTCCGGGTAACAGAGACATGCTAAAGAGCATAGCTATGTCTTTCACTAGAGATGAGCATGTCTCCTTTAGGCTGAAGAGGAGTGGGCAGCGCTATTGTGTTAGCCAGTTAGACTGCTTCTTAGACAAAAGTGTATTTGTCATATTCCAGTGTCTTCCCATTTAATACTGGTGTCATTACACCTGTGCCCCAGGAATGCAGTCGTGTCTGCTTCTGTAGGATATAACACAAACGGGTAGAGCTGAACACAAGTAGGTGGAATAGTTCGTTTGTTTATATGTAGTTTCTGCCCCTTTCATCTCCATAGAGCAGAACAAATCGGGCTTCTGAGTGTGAACTGCCAAGTTTGGCTGAACAAGTCGGCAGTGCAGCTTTCTGAATGCTCGTGAACATCTGACTGATGAATGATGGTTATCTGAATGAATTGCATTTATCAGGTTATGACAAATCAACACTTTTTCTCCTAGCTTAATTTTTTTTTCCTTCAAGCAGGAAGGTAAGGTACTGACGTGTTTTAAAAAAAAAAAAAAATTATTCCTTCTCTTTTTTTTTCTAAAGGATCTGGAATCGTACTTGCACCCAAGGCTGACATGCCAGCAGAAGTTTCTCCTCCAAGTCCCAGTCCTTTGAAAAAAGGTGGATCAATCAATTGGCCTTTCCCTGATAGAATTAAATCTCCCAGAACAGTCAGGAAACTTTCCATGAAAATGAAAAAGCTGCCAGAGCTCAGCAGAAAGCTGAGCGTCAAGGGAACCTCAAGCCATAATAGTTCTGATAATCCTTCTTCCCTGGTGAAAGGTAGCTGTCGGAATACAAGCCATACAACATCTTTGCCATCTTCTGGAAACTCAACAGCAGCTTGACAGCAGTGTGTCGTCGCAACACACCTACAGAAAGAAAAGCACGAGGAGTTCCAAATCCTCCAGCAAAGGTGGTTACCTCAGTGATGGTGATTCTCCTGAACTTATAACAAAATCGGGTAAACACGGGCATGAAACCAAGCTTGGGAAAGGAAAGGAGACCCTTCCAAGCAACAGTAGTAAAAGTGAAATAGATATTGATGCTTTTAGACACTACAACTTTTCTGATCAACCCAAGTGTTCTCAGTACATCTCTGGACTCATGAGCATTCACTTCTATGGTGCTGAAGATTTGAAACCACCTAGAATAGACTCCAAAGATGTCTTTTGTGCAATACAGGTTGACTCAGTAAACAAAGCAAGAACAGCCCTGCTTACATGTAGGACAACATTTTTAGATATGGACCACACATTCAACATAGAAATTGAAAATGCTCAGCACTTAAAGCTAGTAGTGTTCAGCTGGGAACCCACCCCACGGAAAAATCGTGTTTGTTGTCATGGAACAGTGGTTCTTCCTACTCTCTTTCGAGTGACAAAGACTCATCAGCTGGCTGTCAAACTGGAACCGAGGGGCCTTATTTATGTCAAGCTGTCGCTCATGGAACAGTGGGAGAACTCTCTCGATGGTCTAGATGCAGATCGAGAGCCAGTAATGTTCGGGGTAGATGCTCGAAAAGTTGTTGAGAAAGAAAATGCAGGCTTGATGGTACCACTTTTGATGCAGAAGTGTATTCTGGAGATAGAAAAGAGAGGCTGTCAGGTACGGTACATACTTTATTCTGTTTTGTTTTGTTAATATTTCTGGGTCAGGATGTCTATGGTTGCTTATCTTTGTACTGTTACTTTGGGAGCATGAGCTGTGAGTGGAAAAGGGGAAATTAAAAACATCTTTCCAAAGTGGAATTTTTTTTTCTGTTTGCTATTCCTGTTGCTCGGTGAACACTAGTTATTGTAACGTAGGAAGAATAATAGGACTATGTGAAATTAATACTTGCCTTTGTAAAGCAGACGTATGCTTGCTTGCAGTAGTGTTTTAGGACTAGGATAGATAAATGAACGTGAAGGCTCCAGCGCTTAGAAAGACCCTCAAAATAAGGCAGAGCTGGGATTACAATTTGGTAATTTCTGATTCCTGAGATATGGTTCATGCCATTCCCACGTACCCAAAACTGAGGCATCATGTTATCTGAAACAACATAAGGACAGTTCTTTTGCTAATCTTTGCTTACATACGTGCATTCGCAAGCCGGTATCACAAAGACTCATCTCTGACGTCACTTCTACTGTGCACAGCTTTGAGATGAGGAATAGATTCTGAGCTGAGTTTGTTTCCCCACGCTGCTTCCCCCTTGTCTGTCTTCAGGTTGCCTTCAAGATTAGGGAAGGAGATGAATGCTGAAAGACAGTAATGGCCAGCAGTGTGTTCTCTACATCTTAGTAGTTTACTGGTTAATGTAGTCGAAAGGATAAAAATAGGTATGTGAAACAAGGTATGAAAACCAATCCCCAGTTACGGACGCGAGGAATCTGTTAGGAAGGAAGATGCACGGTCCTAACGGCAAACGTTTCCCCTTGGCAATTCCTCTCCAGTTGGTGAGAGGATTTTCGTATGCTGTTCTATAGCGTGCATGAGCCCTCGGTTTGTTTGACACGTGCACTTGCTCGAGTGAAACTGGGAAGTGATCACACCTGCCTCTTTTTACTGTTATGAGACTATGAGATTAATGCTGCTACTTATAACCTTGGTCATAAAATAGAGATAGAAATGGTATTTCTATGCAATTACTTTGCTGGAAGTTGTTATTGGTAATACCTGCTTGATTCATTCTTATTGTGAATGCTTTTCCTAATATTTGCAAATCAGTAGGAAAGTTATTATAACAAGTATTCTTTCTAGTATGTATGTCCCATGGCTTCAGCATTTTATTTTGGGCTTATTAGCATCTAGTCATGCAGATGATATTGGGTAATCAAGACATTACTGGTGATTAGGCAATTCAAAGCTGAATTGTCTGTGTGTACGTGGTGCTTTTGAGCATGAAATTTAATTTGTGCATTTGCACGGGGAGGACAAAAAATGCAAAATATACTGTTAACTTCTCATTTTAACTATGAGCTTATGAACTTGTCTGAGATTTTTGGCTTTCTTATAGACTGCAGATTACTGTCTGTTATGGTGCGTCACCTAGGCTTGAATTTCAGACGTGGAATTAGAAAATTTTATGGTTAACAGTAATTGCATTAGGCTAATACAAGATCATATCGTGTTCAGGAAGAGGGAGTACAAATTCTATTAGGTAACTTTCCATTTATTTAAAAAGGAATTATATCCAGTTTGTACTGCAGTCATTAACATGTGGCTGGACAAATACGCTTGTTTGCAAACCTAGATTCACATTTCTACTCTTTTTTGACTCTCTGGTAATTTTGGACTAGTCACTTACTGCTCAGTACACCTGCCTGTAAAGATCATTAAAAATACCTAATAGTACATTTGGGACTTAGTTCCTTAAGGAGTGCTTTGTGTAAATGGTATTTATGCAATTCAAAAGTATAATGATGATAAAATGTAACAAATTTGAGTGCATGAAAGCACATGACTGAATTAGTAATTCAGTGCAGGAGTGGCGTGGGTTTCATTCCTGTCATCTTGAGCATGTTAAGTAACCTCTCCTTTGCATAAAAATTTTCATATAACATTAAACATGAGTTTCCCTGCGTCTTGCGATCTTTAAAATAATATCTTGCAGAGGTAAAAATGGCGTATCCATAATTCTCTTGAAACCCTAGTTAGTGATATCAAATATAATTTAAATTATTTACTATTTAGTTTATTTTAATAATAATATATTTTGGCTTAATTTTTTAAATCAGTTTATGGTATTTTGTATTATCACTTAGTAGGTAGTCAGTTGTGTAGCTGCTTTTTTCTGCTAATGATTAATAACTACTTATTTCGCCATACTGTACTTTTTGCAGTATGGTATACTTAAGTTCAAAAATACTTTTTCTCCTCTTTTATTTCTGCTTAAGTCCTAGTTTTATGTTGTAGAATGAAGCAATTATACTAAGAAAAATAATGGCCGTCTGGCTCTATAGGATAAGAAGCTCGAAGCTTTGTCTGTATTTGTTTCCTAAGTTTTGTATAGGTGCTTGGATGATTCTGGATGACTTGATACTATACTTCTGATTTAAAACCTATATTCTGTCAGTAAAACATTGCTCAGGATGTTTGATATCCTAGAGAGCATTAATATCATTTGCTTACTCCTTACAGTCCCAACTGCGTGTCTCTTGTAATGTTTAATATGTACATTATCATTTGATGTTAAGAGTTTTCCCTGTTTGGGTTTTTTTTTTTTTAAACTTAAATTTCCTAACATTTGTTTGACTGTTTTGTCACGCTTCCCAGAAGAGACTTCTTATTCCCTGTGCAGGAAAGTAACTGATGTGCGGCCGCTGGTTCTGTTTCTAGGTGGTGGGCCTCTATCGATTATGTGGTTCGGCAGCAGTTAAGAAAGAGCTTCGAGAGGCGTTTGAAAGGGACAGTAAGGCTGTTTCTCTCTGTGAAAACCAGTACCCAGATATTAATGTGATAACAGGTAATCAATTTACTTGATTTTCTTCTAGTGTATAATTGCGATGTATTTATAAAATATTTTTAATAGGCGAAATTGTACTTTTAACTAGTTTTCTGTTGTCATTTAACAAGCTATTAACTACCTTTTTTATTGCTGAAGGTTAAATGAAAGTGAGTACAGTAACCTTGGTGGCATGTGAATGATTTAGAGGGATGATATGAAAAGAGCAGCTTTTTTTTTTTTTAAACCTGCTTTACTAATTACAGAGAAAAATGGAAATTTGAAAGGAACTAAGGTCCCAGGAGCAGACTGCACCTTTGTTATGAGTGTGTGTTGTAGTAGCTGGTGCACTCGGCTGTGGTTGGGAACTGCATTTCACTGGTTACTTTATAACACGTGGTAAAAAGGCCGTCTCAGATCCACCTTTTGTTCTCCTTTGATATCAACGATTGTAGGATTTTTGGAAAGGCACAAGGGAACAAGAAGAGAGAAAAATGATTTGCAGTTGCAGTGTTAGGCCCCAATCCAGCAAAGATGTCTGTGCCTGATTCCACGTGCTGTCGTTTCAGTAACGCTCAATTTGGTATGAAAACATAAATGTGCGCAAGGTTGGGGCATTCAGCAAATCCCGCTATCCTTAAAGTCCGCAGATTTCCCATCATCTTAGGGAAAGCCTGGTTAGAACTGCAGGAAAGTGCCCCCCTTTGGTAATCTGCTGCTTTTAAGACGTTATTAAATAGTCTAACTTGTGCTCACTGGAGTGGCCCTTTGCTTGCTGTCATGCGGCAAGGATCCTGGCAAAGCAAAGAGTGGCTGGGACCGCAGGAACAGAAGGTCTTCGCAGGCATGTCTTCCTTTGCATCATCTTTCTCGGTGAGCATGTTTGCAGGCGTTGTACTGCACAACAAAATTGAGTTGTCAAATTTTTTTATTTGCTTAAAGATGGAACAGTTGTATAACTATTGATAATATTTGTTATGCAGAGCAAAGTTGATATAATTTCAGGGATTACAGACTAAACTGACTGCTTGAGGAAAACGGTCGAGAAGGCTTGCTTCATATGTATCCAGAGAAGGAAAACATAACAGCAGCCCAGGGTATAAATTTCCTGTGCGAAAGCGCTTTAGGTAACACTGAAAGGAATTGGACAGTTGTGTCCTGTTTAGTGTATTTCATCTCAGTATATTGAGAATAAATTGGATATTAAATACATTTTATAATTGCAAGAATTATTATCTGAGGATACTACTCAGTGACATTCACTTTGATAAAAGAACCTTTTGGTAAAGAGCTTTCAGTTAGCTTACTTGTCTTGGCTGGTTTCAATGTTGGGTCCTGTCTTCCTCACAAATACTGGCTTTCCCAGAAGCAGAATCTTGGGCTTATGATTCACTCTGGTAAGATATACTCTTCATTAAGAGAAGGTGTACAATAAACACTTTAAAATATCTTTTAAAGAGAAGAACAAAATTAAGTTAAAAATAAATTCATGAAGAAATTGGTGTTAACTTCTAAAAGCAGATTGTTCCATGAAATATTTGAAGTCCTATTTTCTTCCCAAATTTTATAAATCAACTCCAGAAAAGATGCTCTGTCGCTTTGCGCCAAACAACAGAAACAATCTGATGTTGATGCGAGCAGATAAACGTCACACAGATTCATTGCTAATGTAAATTTTTGGCCCAGAGAGTAATAAAAGGGCGTTGCACTCCTATGCTACAGTCATCTAGGATAAAACTGTATTTGCAGAACTGATTCAGGCTTATGGTGGCGAGGGTATAGGAACTTGTTAGCACGTACAAAAGAGCTTGTGATATTTCATAAGCATTTTGAGTTCCTGAGCACATCGTAAGCTCAGAACTAGTTGCAACTGAAGTCTGATCTGGATTAGTGCCCACTATAGATAAAAAGCCCCGAAAGGGTGGCTGTGCTAGACTGATTTTTTTTCTATCATGGGCCTATGATGAGGTGGGGAAATAGAAAAGTGTGCTTTAATATTACAATGTACATTGCTGCAGGCCTTATTGAAAATGATGATGGTAAAGTGTTAGTGAATGTGCAGGACCTCCTGGACCTTTTTGGCTTGTACCGCTGCAGTACAATTTTTTGCATCCAGAGTTTGTTTTGTAAGGGTGAAAAGCATACAGCTGTTGTATCTTGTGTAAAAACTACTGGATGTGCTTTTGTATGTTAGATTGCGAGAATTTACTTGCTTAGAGGGAAACGTTATTTTAAGGAACTGCATTTAAAAAATGCATATATTTCCTCTGGTACCATGGCAGCTGTGCTGTGTAATTTTCACTAGTCCCTGTGTTTGAATGCCATGTTGAAAGACTTAATGCAGTGGCACAGTGTGTGATAGAGGGAGCGGGCAGGAGACGGTATTTGCACCGATAACTTCCACTTACTAACACGTAACTGATTCTTTAATTGTAAACAGTGTGGTTTCTACATAAAGGTGAGCCTGCAAGTTTTGCCCACAGACCTGAGGTACCCACCATGCTTAGTGCCAGGAACAAAAGAGCCCACAAAACCTATTTCGCATATGTTTAGGGAGGGGGCAGAATGTTTACCCTACAATTTTACTGCTGTGTTTGCAATGCTAAGGCAGATGCACGTGATTCATGCTTTTATAAGCCAAAACACATGTTCTGTAAAATATGAATCCTCAGCATAAATCTTAGCTGATTTGGAGAGAAGTGCCTTGTTGTGTCCTTTTTGAAATTTGAGTAGCACTGTTTTTTCAAAAGATTTTTTTTTTTGACAGCTCTCCAAATGAGCATTTAACGATTAAATCTTCACAGAAGAATGCTCTTGGGACTGGCACAGATTTGCACACAATCGAGTGTACTTGTGGCTCTAAATAACGCGTGCTGCCAGTTTTAGGAACTGACCAGTAGTAATGTTGCTGCATCACATCTGTTCTCATCCATGTGAGTTTGTATCTCTGAATAAAGCATGTAATGCTGTTAACAGTTCAGTGGATCAGAAAAATGAAGAATTAATGAAGTGGATGGCAATTTCTGCTTGCGGTCCAAATTTTTTGTGTGGTGAGTGGTTGTGCCAAGAAGGCTGTGGTAGTGAGCTGACAGTCAGGAGGGAGAAGAGTAGTTTCATTTAAAAAAAAAAAAAAAACTGCAGCCACTCATAAGGCTAATTTAGAGTGGGTAGCAAAAGGATTAAGAAAGGTCAAAGAGCATCTGTGGCTCCCAAACCATCCTGTTATTCAGGGTTACATAGGAGGAAGTCCTCTGGCAGGGAGAAGTCCTGTGACTGTAGAAGGTATTACAGGAGGTCCTTCTAAACGATTATTAACAGATGGTTGCGAGTGTTACAACAGTATAAACTGATTTGATTAAGACGGACCTTCTTCTCGTTTCCTACTGCAAGTTAATTCTGACTTCAGACTGTTTTCAAAAAAGCACAGCTGAAACGAACCCTGCTAAAGTCAGCATCTCTTGCTAGTTCTGCCCATGGAAAAAGGAAAATGTTCCAAACCCTGTTGTGCAGCACTGATTTCTGCCACGTTTGTGTCATAAATATTTTACTCAGTTAATACACATGTGGAATGGGCTTCTAAAATAAGTAAAAGGAAAAAAAAAGGGGGGAAGGAGAGGCACCAACGCAAGTAAGTCATTTAACAAGGTATACTGTGATCAAACTAGCCACGTAGAAATATGCCACTTTTGTTACTGCTCCACTTTATTTTTTTAGTTATTTTTGTTTTAAAGTGCTTTCAGGAAAATATGCAGATGGTGTTCTCATTTGTCATGTTCCTGATGGAATGTTCCCATTTTAAACACAGTGCCTGTTTTTACATGCTCCATGGTGATCTGCAGAGATAAAAATTTTTATTTTGCTGCCCCATTTCCTTAAACTGCAAGGAGAGATCGTCTGGCTGCTCCGGAGGGTGATTCCGCTTCAGTTAGCGCTGTTCTTGGAATACTGCTTGACTATCTGCACCACTACTAGATGCAGTTGTCTTTAATTTAAAAAAAAAAAAAATTATACAGATAGAAGCCCCCTTTTACTAGTATTCCACATGAGAACATGGCTAGGAAGGGGAAAATGCTAATATCCATTCCTTGTTTTTTAGAAATGACCTCATAACAAAGCCCACCCCTGATACAGTTCAGTTTACAGCTAGGTCATAAAGATTGAGTTTGAGAACTGTTGTGGTGTTAAATAGCACAAAATCGATGGCATTTGCCATGATTTGGGATTTTACAAGGCTATGTGGAGTACATACCAAAAAATCTCTATCTTCTCCCTTTCCAACTTTCCATTATCAGAGGACAGGCTACCTGAGGACAGGTCTTTTAAAAAGTGTTTGTAATCTACTGTTTCTTCTTAACGAAGTGTTTAAATTTAACTGTGGTCTGGCTAAAATGGTTAGCTATTTGTGGCACAGAGTGCATTTTCTTAATTGTTTAAAATGGAAAATAAAAGCTGCTGGAAGACAGAGGTAAAGCTTATTTCCTTCAAAGATTTTTGTTTAGTTTTACTGGATGTGTTGCACCTGAATAGCATTATTTTTGTGTTCTTTCCAAGGGGCCACTATTAGAGGTAGTCTGTGTGTGTGTGTTTTTTTTTAATTATTTTTATTATCATTACAATCACTGAAACACCACTCAAACTTCAAGTATCAGCCAGCCTTTAAAACCAATTTACAGAGAATGCAAACGCTCAACTCTGCTGCTGCTTGTTGGTTTGCATCTGTGTAAGGAGTACAGGTCTAGCGAAGTGCTTGCCTGGCTGTTGCATCCCATGGAAACGGCCTCTGCCCCAGCACTTCTCTGGCTTTTCGTGCAATGTGGTACTTTTCTGCAGGTAAGAGAGCTCAGTGCTGGGACGGTGGCAATGACTCTGCACAAGTCACTTTTTCCAGGGAACGTATTTTCCTGCAGAGATCTGCAGGAGCAGACCTACCTGTGCATGTCCCGAATTGCGTAACTGCAGACAGTAGGCACAGTAGGACCCCACTTATGGACCCAAAGGCTCCTCTGCCAAGGACGAGGCTGCAGAGAGCAGCTTATTATTAGTAAGTGGCTGCTTTAGCCAATGTGTCCTGTGGCTGCAGATCTGTTTTATGGCTCCACTGCAGATGTGAACGGTATATTTGGAGGAGACCAGAGGAGCCTAGAGGCAAGGGTGAGCTGATGTTTGCCTCTTGAGGAAGATGTTTGGTTTGTGCTTTGGTAGATGAGAAAACCCGGTGTGGTTTGCAGTGTGTGGCACCAGCACTGGGACATTTGCTCATAGTTCTATAATTCAAAAATAAATTGAGCAGAAGGCTATTATCTGCAGTCGTATGGAAAGCAGGCCGTGTCATCAGGCTTGAGGCTTTGGTGTCCAGCTCCTTTCCTTGGACAGAAGGTGAACTGCTGAGAGCCCTGTTTGGCTTTTCCCTCTCCCTACTTGGGAGGAGAATCTGGAAAAACGCTCTCCTGCCTGCCCAGGGAGAATGATGAGTGGGGGTGTCAGCTCTCCATGTGCTCATCAGCAGCTGCAAACATCCATCCTCTCTGGAAAGCACCTTTTTCACCTGGTTTCAGTCCTTAATTCACTATGAGCCGCCTTGTGTGATCTCAGAGGAGCTGCTGAGACTCACGTTGCTGTAGGATGTGCCTGGAAGGCAGAGATGCTGCTGTTTTTTGGCTTTGTGAGGGCATTGCAGTGGGACCTGACAGCTTTTAGGTTACTGTGTGATGATCCCTCAAGTACTAATGCTTTACTGTATCCTTATTGTTTTTCTTCCCTCCCTTGCTTCCAAGTGAGACGCTTGTAACTTTTGTGGGTGATTTTCTCTTGAGATAAATGATGTTTATGTGCCTAATCACTCCCAAGCAATTCTGAAAAGTGTCTGCAGCTTGTTTAAAGGCAACTGTTCTTGTGTCTTTTGTGAAGGTATCCTAAAGGATTATCTGAGAGAACTGCCCTCTCCCCTGATAACCAAACAGCTGTATGAAGCAGTACTGGATGCCATGGTGAAAAATCCCTTGAAAATGACAGCAAGTGGTTGTGAAAATGACCCAAGTGATTCTGAGCACACAGCAGCCCTCCTGGATTGCCTGCCAGATGTTGAGAAGGTGAGCAGTATTAGTGCATTCAAGTGATAATAAATCCCCAGCTTCAAAAAATAAACAAACATTTTCACACTGGGCATAAAAAATGTGAAAACGTGCATGCCTGTTTTCTGACTTAGATATCTACATAGATTCTTGATGCTCTGCCCCTTTGGCTGAAAGTACTTCCATGCTCTTACTAATCCGAGGCTCTGTATTGCTAGGTGCGTTTTAGTTTGCATTTTATACCGTGTCTATAAAACTGAACGAAAAGCTGTGAATGCCATTTTTTTAAATGTTAGATCATGGATTATTCCCATGTGGGGTCATGCTACACTTCTGTGGAGCCCTTTGTTCTGTATGCTGTGACTAAATGCGGAAATACATTCCTTTTCCCAAATATGTGCAATAAAACCTTAACTCCTCATACTGTGCAGTGTAATAATGCTGTGTTCTGTTAGACAGCTGCCAAATCAAACTACAGAGAAAACCACAGTTAGCCAGTTTTACTGGGAAAGAGCGAATGAGTGAGTAGACTGTGCAGTACCTTGGCAGTACTGTGTAAGTCTTGCATGCATGAGTATTGTTAGCCCTGTTGGACTACCGGATATGTAATGCTGGTTTTGAGATTTGTTGTCTTTTGAACTCTGTGTTTTCAAGTGCACAAAGTCCTCCATGGATATGCAAAGAAAAACAAATTGTATGGTATAGTGTGTGCTGCAGAATGAATGCTCATTTTCCGTTGAGTGAAGTTGAGCTTAGCTGGTGGAAGAAGTCTTACCTTCTGTGTTTATAATAGATATCATGAGATATTGTGTAACTTCTCAGTCCTTTCTTCTAACATCTTACATTACAGTGCTCTGGGTGGAACAGGTTCTATGAGCTGGGCTTGCTGGCTTATCTGAGGTGGTGCTTTTCTTCTTAGTGCCGTCTGATTTAGGAGAACTTGCATGCTTTGGGCAAATGCTCAAGCTGTCACTTGGTATGGATTTCCTCGTTCGTGATGGAAGACCTACTGTAAATATTCCTAGCAATGTGGTAGGATGTGATACACTGAAAGATGAGTAAATCAATGTTTTTTGTATTTGTATTAATGATGAATAGTATCATACCATTCAAGTAACTTCACTTCACTTCCCGGAGTGAGATATTTTTGTGCTGTACAGCCAAGAGTAAAGGTAGCATAATATATACATAAACATAAAATATAACTTTAATTTGTGGTATTAACTAAAATAGAATGTACCCTCACAAATTATCTCTGCAAACTAAGCAGTTAAAATGACACTATAATTTTTTTTAAGAGTTCAGGTAAACCATTTCCACTTACAGCAGACTTGGTGACCAGACAGCTAGCTAGAGGTCACTTCTGATAAAGCTAAACTGAGTTCTGGAGGCTTGTTCTGGTGCTGAAGTCAAATTGAGGGTCTCTTTATTTCCTAATATAAATGGATCTTCTGTGCTGCCTCTGCAGCTTCTCTCCCTTCTCTGATGTCCCCTCTCCACTGTGAGAAAACTCATCCACATAAAACTGAGATCAGGTAAGAGACAAGCTAAGTTTTATTAGAAAGTCTGTCTTAACTAGTTGGCACTGTGATGGAGTCTAGTACAGTTCTTTTTATTCAGGACTTAGCTGTTGCGTCGATGAGTGTTGGTAGAAAAACCTTAGCTTTAACATTAGCAGCCTCCGTCTTACCCCTCTAGAGCAATGGCGTTAGGATGGTAACGCTGCATTAGCCTAATATCTTGCTTCCTGAGATGTAATTTTTTTTCTTGTAGGCTACCCTGAAGATGCTGTTGGATCACCTGAAATTGGTGGCTTCTTACCACGAAGTAAATAAGATGACATGCCAGAACTTAGCTGTATGTTTTGGGCCTGTGTTACTAAGCCAGAGGCAGGAGACCAGCAACCATAATAACAGAGTCTTCACGGACTCGGAAGAACTTGCTAGTGCTCTGGACTTCAAAAAGCACATAGAAGTTCTTCACTACTTACTCCAGCTATGGCCGGGTAATGTTTCATGAGTTTGATCAAAGCAAAATAACAAACCATTGCTGTATGTTTTTACTGTGCCTCAATGTAGACTAATTCACAGGATAACTGAGCAGTGTCAGTATTCTTAAAATATGAAGTAATATGCCATAACTTCTTAGTATAAAGAGAACATGACAGTTTTATAATCTACTCTTTGTATTTTATTTAATGGGAACTTTGCAGTTTTAATTAGTTCTTTACCAAATGGCAGAGTTTGAATATAAAAAGCAGAGAAAGTGCTTTATGCTAGTAAAGCAACCAGTGAAGACAAACTCATTGACAATAATGCTTCCACATATTAATTAGGGTTTAGGGTTGTCTTTTTTTTTTTTTAACGTTTTAAAGCTGCTTTGCTGGTTCAGGACATTGTATGGGATTCATTAGTGGTTTGGTCTCTGAGGGACGAGAGACCTTCTTTTATTTCTGCATTTGTAATTTGGCAGAGTTGGTGACATCCTTGCTCTAGAAGCTGTGCAAGTTCAGATCATTTCTCCAGAGCACTGCATAAGGAGAAATGCTTTAAAAAAAAAGAGAGGGAGAGAGAGAGAAAGTAGCTTTTAGCTCCTACTTCTTAACCTGAGTACTTCTTGTGATTTTGCACAATTTGGGATCAATCCCCAATAAGAAAGGAGGTGAAATTCTGATCATCTCCATGACCGAAGTAGAAGTGAAGGTAATTATTTTTGCTAAGGTTTCTTTTTTCAAATGGGAAAGTGTTCACATTTCCCATGGTATTGAGAGGCCTAAGTCAGTGGAAATATTCATAATGACATCAGTGAGCCTGGATTTGAGCCTAGGGTGAGTTGCTCTGCATTTCTTCTGCTAGGTAATTAGCTATTGAACTGTGGCGTTCTCTTATGCAAACACTGCATGAAGTCACAAGACAGGCTAAGATATTACTGCTTTTCAATTATAACATGGAGAGTTTGAGAATAATAGAGTGAAACAACATTAGATCCAAAGAGGTTATTTTTGTTTTCAGATATTCTTTGACCAAGTAATCGTACAGAATTGGAACTTGTTGTTCCAAGTTGTAATATCTTCCTTTTCACAGTGGTCTGATTAGTGATGGTGTGGAGAACTGATTTGTTTTGTAACCCAAATAGCTTAATGTCTGCTTCTCAAATTTGAACACTGTAAACCCTTTAATTTTGAGATGGAGAAGATTCCTGTCATCTAAACAGCTTCTTATTGCTCCCTTTTCAAATATATTCATCTCTGCTGATTTTCTGCACCAGTAGAAACATGAAACAGAATTACAGTTAATCTAAATGAGTGACATATCTGATTGAATTTAGTTTAATTTTTTTTTATTCTAACAAGAGGCAGGCTTTTTATGCAAGACTTAGGGGGTACTTGGGAAATGTGGAGGGCCAAGAAGGGCTGGACTTGGCAGTACTGCCATTACTTACAGATAACGTAACTGCATTTGAGGCAACCAGACAGGCTCTGTGCCGCTCTATGCTCAGAATGCAAGATATTTCGCAACTCATTTAAGGAGGGTTTGGATTGAGCCCCTTTGTAAACAAAGCTTTTTGATCTTAGGAGTTTACGTTCCAGACTAGAAAAGAGAAGTAAATGGTAATTATTAAACAAATAACATACAAAAACATATTTTTTAATTCATCTATGAATGCAGAGTAGATAGATATCATTGGTATGGGTGAAGAAAAAACCCTAGAAATATTGGAAATACTTACTTTTCTTATAGTTTGTAGAAGGGCTTTCTCGAAGTGGAGGTGGAATTCATGCTGAAAAATGTTATAGAGATTCCCCTTCCTAACCAGGTGGTACTTAAACCATGTTACTGTGAAGAGTCAGGGAACAGCTGACTTATAAGCATGGATTGGCAAGGAATTATTTCTGGCAAATTGTGTAAAACTGGGAAGAAGAAAAGGGGAGGAGAGGGGGCAGGTGTCTGGATCTGTTGTCAGTTCCTAGACGTGAGCTGTAAACGAATGGGCTGTAGCAGACAAAGCGCAGGCTAGACACGTGAACATGTGGTCTTCAGCTTAGTATTTCATAATCAAGCTATGTAGGATGCATGACAAACCTTACTATTAAAAGGGGTTGTTACGATTACAAAAGAGGGTTGAAATCTATGCTGTATTCTCGTCTTTTTGCTTGCTTTTTATGGCAGATCATCTTAAATAGTCTCTGCTTTACTTAATAGTTCTGGTTACTCTAAATCTCTAAGGATTTTTTTCTTAAATGGTTGAAGATGAAAGAATTGTTGGAGTAGGTTTAATCCTTTCTTAAGTAGAACTGTGGAGTAGCAAGGCAAGTGAAGAAAAAATAGAACAGTTCAATGTGATCTCCTTTGAACAGCACAACAAATTTGACAAGTTTGTGAATAACATACTGAAGTCATTTAAGTGCCTGAAGGTTTCTTGTGGTGCATCGGACACTGATCAGTATGAAGAATGTTCTGGGTGAGTCAGATCTCAGCCATCACGGGTTACTTCTTCATTCCTATTGCAAACAATAGTTTCCACCCTGGGAGTATCGCTAGGCTTGTTGCTACTGCCAGAAAGATCATTGGCAGCAAGTCGCTGCGAATCAGAAGGTATCGCTGCGGTACGGCCTGGAGCCGCTGCCGCGAGCAGCTGGCTGTGAGCACCTGCTTCTGTCTCTGTATCCTAGCAGCAGGAAATGCGAGTTTGGCCAAAAAAAAGTCCATGTAGAGAATTATGTAGTGTGGAGGAAAAAAAATAAGGATAGTCTCAGTTGTTCTCTAATTTTTTTTTTCTAGAAGTCTGATTTATGATAGTTTGCTTCCAAATAGATGTTGCTAGCTACTCTGCTGTTGTTCTCAGCTGAGTGAGTTACTTTCCAGTAGTCTTGTAAAGTCAGGCCCAGGTCCTGAGAGGACATCACCATCTAAAGGCTCTGAGCAACTTGAAGAGCTGCTTGCGGAAAATGGTCGCTGCCAGGTCAGTAGAGTACAAACTGCCATTTACATGTCCTGGGCGCACCTCCTGCTGCAGTTGCACCCCGCCAGCCCTAAGGAGTGTGCTCTGGCCCTGGCCTGTGGGCTCCTTGGGACATGACCGCAACAAGCAAAATGCTGAAAATAAGAGCAAGAGTAAAATTAATTTGACTTATGATGCAGCTTCGTGATTGGCTTAAGGCAAGCTAGGACGTTTCTCACTGCCTCCCTCACCAGCTGTAGAGCCGGTGCAGCCCTGAAGCTGCTGACTGCCAGAAACGGAGAAGTGTTCAGTCAGCTCAGTGAGCCGAGGGGACTGGCCGGAGTCAGCTGTACCGGGTGGCTGCACGACCGCTAGAGCCAGTGCAGGAGAGATGGGAAATGTGGCGGTAAGAAGGAGGATCAAGAGCTGTTTGGGCAGCAGATACGACACAGAAGCTAATCACAGAACTTTGGGGTTAGTTTACAGCATGACTGCTGTGGAAAACAAAAGCAACTAGATGTAGCTCCTTGCATAGGAGTCAAGAATGCAAAAGGTAAGTAGCAGAGTTTTCATTCACCTTGCAATAAATGCTGAATGATATCCCTTGACTTGCAAGAACTGTGCAAGACAGACTGTGCTAAAATTGAAGTAAAATATGAATGCAGAGATGTAAACGAGTGAGTGCTTGCATAATGTAAACAGAACACTTGGACCTGAAAAAAATCAGTCTTGTCTCTTAAATTTAATCTGCCTGTAGGTTTATAGACAACTTGATAATAAACATGTTGCGCAATACTTCAATTTCCTTATTTTTCCAGTTGAAAACAAATGGTCCTTGTTCAGTTAGAACATGTAATACTGGCAAGTTATTGTTAACCCATGGCCTTTGGTCTTAATGGAACATAGTCCAAACAGTAAGCCTTTTGTTACTGTAAAAGGAAGAAAAAAAAATCCAGTGATAGTTATTACATGTTATTGTGCACAATGTAAAGTAAGACTAAAATTCTCTGCAGAGACCTGTTATATGGACCCAGAAAGTGAAACATTTGACACATCTCAGGATTGAGCTTTGTTTAAATGCATGGAATCTAACAAAAAAAAAAAGTGATGTTCTGCTCTGTAAGTGTTTATGTACACTATGTTTCCAGCAGTGAACGGGAATAGAAAGTCTCTGTATCTAATTACAGGAGGTTATGGTCTGCTCAAAACCAAAAGTTTTGCGGTTCAGACATTTAACAGGCACAGGCCAGTAAAAATATTTGTACTGTTTACCATAGGAAGCCGGTAACAATGGAGGACACTGTTAGTAACTTATGCTGTATAATCATGAGTTCAGGTAACACGGCCATCAAACCTGTTTGAGTGTACTTCTGACGCCAAGGTTATGGCTGCTTAGAAAAATTAATGCAAATGAGCTTCTGGTAATAGTGCAGAACATTAGGACAAAAGAGAAATGCAAGGGTTCAACTCTGTGTCTTTAGCTTCTCTAGGTGTTTCTCAGCAGTGGTATTTCTGTTGTCTTTTTAACCACTTTATGCTGTGCCTGCTTTCTGTTATACCTTTTAGCCTGGAAGAAGTGTGTGAGCTGAGCTGTTTGCTTCTCTTTGAACCAGAGCTAGATGGTGATTAACTCATGCAGTGAGTTTAATCAGTGCTCTGGAAGCTTCTACTTTTAGATAGACTTTTATCAGTTGCAGTTTGAATCTGGCATGAATTTTCAAAACTGAGCTTTTACAGTAGTTTTTCTAATTAACTATATCAAATAATGGGAGAAAACATATTAGTGGAATGCGTTGGCTGTAATTTTGCATGCATTCACGCATGTTCCTAGCGTGTAACGTAGAGGGAAGAAAATGAGCGTTCTTTCGTGGTTTATTTCTTGCTCCAATATGAATTCAGCTCTGACTTTAACTTCTTTTTTGTTCTAGTACGTCATTCAACTGCCAAAGACCCAACACATCTGAACGCGTTTCTAGAACACCCGTCATCCCTGAGTTATCTGAGACCTAAGAAGCAAAGACCTCAGATGTTGAATCTGAGTAGTACTGAAATGTCTGGGGTGCTTAGGCCAAGACCAGCAGGTCTAGACAGCCCTTCGAGTAACCGCTATGCGGGAGACTGGAGTAGTTGTGGGGAAAACTACTACTTAAACCCAAAAGAGAGCCCAAGTGAAGCAGACTACGATGACGTCCCTTCAGAAGACACAGAAAGTGGAGACGATAACAGCAAAGTTGATGGGTCAGATAACCTGATAAAGCATCCACAGCCCATTCCCAAGGAACACACGTTTCGGAGCTATTTGGCAATGCAAGCGATTGATTCAGCAGTGGACCACAGAGCAAACCTCAAAGACCTGCAGGAAAGTATTGATACTCTGATAGGAAACCTGGAAAGGGAACTCAACAAAAATAAACTAAATATGAGTTACTAATTCCTGTCCTGCATGATGCCTCCTCCTAGTGCTTGTTTGCCCCTCACCTGGCTCCCCATAACGGCATGTGGAGTGCCGGTTTCCATGAACGTGCCATCGTAAGGCCATGGCCCACCTTGAATTAACAAATCCATTTTAAGACGTTCCATCATGTTTCAGCGTTTTTGTTAGAGGAATCTGTTGGCCTGATCCTCTGGTGTTTAAGACAGAAACATAGAGAACATGAAGTGATTCTACAAACTAGCGGCATTTTCTACCTAAAAAAAACTATTCACTTGAGCAGTTTGGGCAATATCTGACAGACGATAAGGCAACATCTCTGCTGTCTGTAGCCACAGCAGAACTCGTTCCTGAGATTTTAATTCTGGTACAGATGCTTCTCTCAGAAGAGGATTAACGCTGCTTGGCCTGAGATTTGCAGCATGAACTTTAGATAGACTCATTTTACTATATATGCAATGGCTGCTATGAAAAATGCTTTTTATATATATATAAAAAATATTTATATATAAAGTTTTAATTGTACAAATATTAATGTATTCATGTATTAACACTTTTCAGTAATTATTTAAACAAGTAAGAATTAAATATTTTTCTAACCTTGTTTGTATATATTTATGTATAAACGTGCATGTGTCTGTAGCCACCTTTGGAAAGGAAAAGAATAAAAATTACGTAAGGGTACTATTTCTAAGAAAACATGTTTAAGGATGCCAAGATTAAGTTACTCCTTCAATAACATAGCATTTGATTTAGGCACAAAAACATGTCCAGAGAGAGGCAGGGTGAATGATTAATGTAAATGACCTTGTGTGTTGCAGGAGCATCAGTTCACAGGTGTTGACTATTAACCATACTTTAAAAAAAAAAAAATTTTCAGATTAATCTTAAGGATTTTCCAGGATTTCTAGCAGTGAATTGTTCTGCTGTCTTTAAATGGGTAATAAGTATGCACAGGAAGGATATGAAGGCACTGTTCATTTTTTGTTTTTTTATGTCTTTTTGATACATAAAGAAGGCCTGGGAGATGTTTACTTTTTAAAGACTTTTGACTTTGTCCTTGTAACCTCTTACTTTATTCCTGACATTTTGATACTCGTTTTTTCTCCAGTTTTAAGTAGTTTTGCTGAGGTACCTTGGCTGACGGCTGATTGTTAGAAGCGTTAAAGCTCTCTCTGGAGGAGAAGCAGGTCTGAGATCCTACACAAAAGCAGTTATTTTTTCCCCTGAGTCCTTTAGTTAAATTAGTCTCTGAAAAATGGAAAGCAGAGTTTTACGCAGCCTGGGGCACGTGGGTGGGATTGCAGCCTGCGGTGGCTTGGTTAGATTCAGCTATCACCGTACTCTGAGACCATCTTTTATCTTTAGTCGTTTACGGTGAACGATTAAACATTTCGTTTTAACCAAACCCACTCTTTGTTTAACCAAAAATAGTTACCAAATTGCTCACAGGTTTTTGATAGTTGCTCTGACCAAAACAGAATCACAAACTCATTGCTTTTCCTTTGCAGGACGCTCTCAGTGAGGAGCGGGGGATTTGGGAGGGTGGGGGCAAGATGGTTATTTTGTTTTGAGACTTCAAACACCAAGTCTTTGTCAACTGGCAGGATAGAATTTAATTTCCTCCATCTCTTTGGTACCATGTTGGCATCCCACCGTGCCTTTCCATTCACTATGTGGGTAAGTGCTTTTTTGCTAACCACCTACTTCCATATATTGCTTAATTGTAGAGTTATTTATTTGCAGTAGAAAAGGATTAAGACTCCAGAGAGCAAAGAACAATTTCTGGACAAATGGTTTCCCCTCCTCCCCGGTCAGGAGAGAGCTACTCATAAATTCAGTGACAAGTTTGTGTTAAAAGATGCAAAACAATTATTGCAATATAATAATGTATGAAAATGTAAATTTAACCTGAAGCATTTATCAGTAAATCAATGTATTTTTTTAAACTTTTATACCTACAGAATGCGTGTACTTTTTAAACTATAAATTTTAATTCTAAATAAAATTTGAATTAAGAATGAAATTTGATTAAGCCTAGTTGGTGGTTATTTAAAGCCAGTCTCAGCTGGTGGTGTGCATTGGCTGCACGTGTGAATTAATTTCATAGACACTTAGTTTTTCAGAAGGTGTTTTGTTTGATGTTTTGTCTAGATTGACCCAGCGTTTCTGTTGCATAATTAAAAAATAACTACTCAATTTAAACTCAGAAGCAGTAATATTTTAAGGAACTATTCAAACCCAAAGTTTTGATAGCATTTCTTCCTGTATTGCAAAGAGATTCTGATGCTTTTGGATGTAGCCCAACTCCTGAATTGGGGGTGTGAATTTATTAGAAGTAATTAAAAGCTCTTTGCATTTCAAGTTCTTTGATAAATAGTATATGAATATATAGTGAATATTCACTATATAATAGGTTAAAATTAGTATTTTAACCTTACAGCAGGGAAAATAATGATCTGATAAACTGTATTAGTGTCAGTCTAGTTAGACATATAGTATAAGCAAAGCCAATTCAATATTCACATTATTCAAATGGAACATTGCCACTTAATCTAGTCAAGGTAATTTGTAGAATGCGTTTTGTATCCTAGAGATCCCTCTTCAAGTGAGACATTTACCAAGTAGCATTTTGTTATATGTTGTACCTTATGAAATATAATAATATAAGAATATATATCTGTATATATTAAAAAGTATATAATAAGATCTGGTCAAATGGCATCTTTTTTAGGATTCTAACAGATAAGGAGGAGGATTAGTGGGGGGGGTTGCATTTAGTGTTTCTAGATTGGGGAAGAGATTAAAACGACCTGCTTCTACCAAAATAGAAGTGAGGGGTTTTTTTTATGCTCACGAAAGGGTAGTGTGGGTTTTGCAGCTGTGTGGTTAGGCTCTGTGGTCTTTGCAGGGCAGAGCTCCTACTGAGCCCCATGGGCAAGGCCAGACGCTTCGGTTACTCTACTAATACTTGTTGACTTTTTGTTGCAACTGACTCGGACATTCAAGAGAAGCTTATGTGCTGCAGGGCTTCTCACTGCTGCAAGAAGGGGTTAAAAGTAGAGGGTAGAGCATGCAGGTTGGTTCAGAGATCTGCTGGCCTTGGGCTGTGCAGACTTCCTTCAGGTGTGGCCTCAGTGTTCCCAGGTCAAGCTAGTTTCTGCAGGTGCTCTTCCAGAAGCAGCTCCCAGACTCCCACCAAAATCACATACAGACAAATTGTTCCACCCAAGTATGGGTGTTTCTGGTATTTTTAGGTCTGGCCAGCAATGTGCGCGTGCTGGGTTGGGCAGCAGCCAGGAATCCTAGGTTGTAGTCTGCAGGGAAGAGAAGAAATCCCTCCGTAGGTCTGCGCAGCTGTGTGCTGCCAAACGTTAAGGATAGAGCACGTGTAAGTGGGATCAGGAGCGGACTAGGCTAATTCATGGAGCTTTAATCCATTGCTGTTTGTTCAAACAGGACTGTCCAAATGCTGCTGCCAGCCAGGGAAATCCTCACACTTGGGACAGGAAAGCTGACAGGCTGTAACAGGAAAATAGCCCGCTGTACCTGCCTCGTGCCTTGTATTGTTTCCCTGAAGCACTGTTACTGGCTGCTGCTGCTGGAGAGGTGATAGCAGCTAGAAGGACCTTAGTGACTGTGTTTGGTCATTAGTGCTTCTTTTAACACCCAAAAATTGCTTAAGAATACCCTGGCATAGCCTTGTCAGTGGGTATGTGACGAGCTTTCCCATGGAGGAGTGTTTCCCGCAGCAGTGCCTGGGCTCCAGTGGGAGCAGCTGGGCTGCGCAGTTCATCCAGCTCACAGTAAATCCCCTTTTTGTTTTTCAGCGTCCCAAAGTGGCTTATTACAGGGTCGCGCAAGAGACGGCTTGAGATTTTATGGGGTGTAGAGCAGACGGGGCGGCAGCGTGAGCTTGGGTTGTCTTAGGCTGCTGGAGACCTCCGTCCTTGGCAGAGATGTCAGGTCTTGCTCGTGGTCAGGCAGCTGAACACAGGATTCAAGGCTTTTCTCATCCCTGATGAGCAACTCAACTGCTGGGATCTCTCAGGAGATTTCCCAAAGCAATGGGCTGGTACGAAGATTTTGCGTCTTTTCCCAGAACAGAAGGGATCTTGCTCACACCCTCTGCCCTGTCGGTGCCCTGAGGACACAGGCTGCCCACGCCTGAGCCTGCGGAGAAGTCACCCTCTCACCTTTAGTTAGACGTGCCTAAGCAGGGAGCATGGTGTGTGTTGCCTTCCTGGGTGTGAGGTCTGCTTACGCTTGAGGCGTCAGGAGCGTGTTCACCAGCTTGGGAGCACAGAGAAGCAAAACTGATGTGCCTTGCGAGTGTCAGCAGCCAGGTAGGGAGGTCCCGCTGCCCTTGCTCCTCAGGCTTAAGCTTCAGTATCTCTGAGCAAGAGTCTTTCACAGCCTCACTGCAGGTGCGTTGTCCCTTCTCAGAGGTGACTGAGATGACTGAGGAACTGTTTTGGGACAATATCAAATGAACTTTTGGGGGCCTGGTGGGGCAATTTGCACTGCACTTGCCAGACCCAATTTATGGTCTGTATTTCCTTTCAGAAAGGTGCGGTTTCACATATCATGGTGATAACTTCCTTGGCTGTGTTGTAGTCTTTGAATCTGAGCCCTTGTGTGTTTTCTAACCTTACAGCTCTGAAATTATCTGCAAGCACTGAGCCTTGTGAGAGCTGAAAGGGGCAGTGCTTGCAGCACCCTGGCTCTCCTTTACCTAGTGCTGTCACGGCTGCTGCAGGAAGCAGGACGAGATGCCGTTTGCTGAAGAGTCCTGGGCCTGCCCATGGCCGCTGTATCTGCCTGCCTTCAGCACCACCTTTTCAGACTTTGCCTCTGACTTATGCCTGTAGGTTGCAAGAAGCTTTAAAGACAACTTTATGCTCCTTCTCAGGTTGTGTTGTTACTTTTAGAAGGTGGTGGTCAGTCGTGCCCTCTGTGGCAGGACTTGGTGCAGGTTTATTTGTTGAAAAGAAACTTTGTCCCCTTCCTCTTTTTCCCAAACCAAGCCACAATGTATGTGGCTGGTTAATGCACCAGGCAAGAAAGGTAGCTGTAACTATTCAGACATGTCCTAAAAATAGAGGAAAACATCCCCGACAGAAGAAGATACTAAGGATTTTTATGGAATAAATCTGTAAATCTGATAAGCCGGGGAACCATCTGGTACTTCTGCTGCCAGACTGTAACTCCTCTAACCTTCGGATGGGAAGCAGCGTGGAGGGTTTGTTTTTTTAACAGTAAAAATGTCTTTCGACATAAGTCTTCACCTAAAACTATGGAGCTAGGAACAGCTGAGAGATGGTTATTTGGAGCAGAAAGATTAGTGTTATCCTTCCGTGTAACTATGATGCATTGGTTTTAAAATGTCATCGTACACATTGAATGAACTGTTTTCCCTTTGACGTTTTCAGAGCAGCAGGGGAAGCCCTGTATTTTTGTCTTCACGACAGAATTTGCCAGGCACGGTTAACCTGTGGAGCAGCCTGCCCCCAGGGAATGCGAAGCAGGCCCTGCAGGTCTTTGAACATGCAGGATTACACTGCAGAGGATAAAAGATCAAGATGGGATGTATAATCTCATGTCTCAAGGTGTACAAATGCATTTGCTAACAGCAATTAGAAGGAAAATGGCTCTCCGGAAGAGAGCCTGCTGTCATGTAGCTCCCCCCAAACTGCCCTGCCCTGGTGAGAAGGGGCTGATCGGCAGAGCCTGACCTGCCTCCTATTCCCCACTGGGTCAGGAACATCCAGCTGAAACCTGGCTGTCTTCCAACCTGCCACACATGGCTTATTTTGCAGCGTGCGCTTGTCTCTAGCTGGCTTCAAACCGCGCTGAAAGCGAGGTGGCCAAGCTAGTGCTTCAGGGTGTAAGCAGACAGCACAGGAGCGCGGGAGGCGCGGGGCTGCCTTCCGGCCCCACGCGCTGACGCCGGCCGAGCCTGAGCCTCCCTCAGCTGCACCGCAGAGCTACCCCCGAGCACAGGCCCTGGGGGCTTACGTGCCCTTCAGACCAGTGCAAGATTTTTAACGGGCAGAAATTAATTTTATCAAAACTTTAGAGTGCACCTGTGGCACCTTGTGCCTGCATTTCTTGTTAACACTGTGATGCTTTATTTGGCAAAATTGCTCTTTTCAGGCGATTTATTTCCTCTGTGAAGAGCGGAGATGGGCTACTCCTGCCCAGCTCCCAAGGAGGCTGGCTAGTGGGAACTGTGCTCTCAGCGTTGGGGTCAGCAGGTTGAGGAAACTTTGTCTGGGAACATGAGAGAATAAATCCATTAACCACAGTCTCTCCCAAAATCTATGAGGGCCAGACGTGAGGTGCTGGTCCCAGCCAGCCGGCGCCAGGAGCAGGGCAGGCCTGGCTCAGTGACAGCCCCGCGGCCTGGGGAGTACGGCACCGCGGCGCTGCTGCTCCTCCGCGTTGTAGCTGCAGAGCTACGAGGAAGGGAGGCGACTGGGGCTTTCCTGGTAAGTCACGGCCATGTGGTTGACTTTGTTGTGTTTGTAGTTTGCAGCCCTGTTAATCAAAAATCTACGAAGGATGATCTGATGTGCTGTTCTAATGAAACCCAGGCCTGATAACCAAGAATTTGGCCTTTTAATTAATTGGTTGTGGGATATTTACATACCTGTATAAATCAGATTGTTAGTTAAATATTGATTTAGCAGGAGAACTGTGTTTTCTTTTTGTTTGAGCTCTGACTGCAAACACCATATTGCAGGCGTTCAGGAT